AACCGGCAAATTGCCTCACTGGCTGGCCTTGCCCCTGCCGTCCCCGCCCACTCACTGCTTACCTGGCATGCGCACCATCAGCAACCATCCTGAGTTGCTATTTTTCCTTTTTTTTGCTGATCATCAGCTGTTCTGCTCTGCCGGGAGATTTAGATTAGCTAGAAAGCAGAATATAGTTGAATTTCTTGCTTTTTAGCTAATCTAAAAGCAGAGCTGAGCCTTCTTTAGGACCGAAACTTCTATTTTTCAGTGCAGACTCAGGTAGCAGATTGCAGATAGGTAGATCTCTAAGAGAATTTGTGATTTTGTGACCAACTCAATCTACCTGCCTGCTTTGCCTGATTTTGGGTAAAAGTTGCTCTTTTTTAAATAAAAAATTTAGTATTTACATACATGGTGTGTTGTGAGTTAATTTTGTGAATGCTTGCTAGCAATTTTTTTGAGTTTTCTTGCTAGCAAATTTTATGAGTTTGCTTGCAAGCAAATTTTATGTGACAGACTCAGGTAGCAGATTGCAGATAGATAGATCTCTAAGTGAATCTGTGATTCTATGAGCAACTTAATCTGCCTGCCTGCTTTGCCTCATTTTGGGTAAAAGTTGCTCTTTTTGAAATAAAAAATTAAACATGTACATAAATATTTATAATATTTACATACAAGCCACACCCACCCAGCCACATGACCACCAAGCCGCACCCAAAAATTAGGCCACGCCCACAGAACTGGTTGTTCAGAAATTTGAATCCCATCCCTGCATATTCTGTATAGAAGGCAGAAATAAAACAATTCTGAAAAATAAGCAAAATTTCCTTTAAAAAGTAAGATAAATTTAATTAAGATAAATGCAAATGCAAAACATGTACACTATCCTAGGATGGGCATACATGACTTTGTAATAATTATATGCCAAAATGATAATGTGTCTGCAAAAAGGACCAATATAATTTTAGGCTCCAACACTAACAGTTTATTTTTCCAGAAGATGGAAACAGCAGTTCTACTCTATTTCATATTGTTCAGACTCCACTTCAAGTCCTGTTTAGTTTTGGGCACAGTATTTTTAGAAAACCCCAGGAAAACTGGAATAGATTGGGGGGTGGGATCAACAACAATGATCAAGGAACTAAAAAGAACTAGTTACTTACCTGTAACTACAGTTATTTAAGTGGTCAAATTCACATGTGAGATTTAAATGCATACACTATGCTCAAGAGCAGGAAGCACAGAAACCAAGATTAAGAAATATAACCTGGTTTCTAATATCAATTAACGTTCTTCAATTGGTCAACTCTGAATTCACATATGCAGGTATAGGAACATAATATATTGTGAAGGGATTATGAGAAGTAACTACATTTAGCATTGAGAAAAGGCCAATTTGAGTTAAATTTTATAGCTAAATTTAACAATTTTTAACTAAAATTGGCCTTTTTTTTAATGCTAAACATAGTTACTTCTCATAATCCCTTCACATATATTATGTTCCTGTACCTGCATATGTGAACAGTAGAACAGTTGTTTCCATCCTGAATGTTAGGAATAACAATCTTATATTAAGAACTATTTGACAAGGGCATCAATTACCCAAAAAGGTGGTGGGTTTCCTTCACTTAAGCATTCAAGCACTGGATACATATTAAAAGATCAGTTTGGACTCAGTCATACCTTAGAACTCTACAACGTAACTGTAGATCAGGATGATCACTGGCATAAATTGAGGGACACAGAAAGATCTTTTTGTGCCAAATTTTATAGTACACATTTTCATTGTTAGATAAATGTACATTTTATTTTCACAGAAAGCTCATGCAAGGTCTCCTTAATAGTTCTATTTTTAATGTGGCAACCAATAGCATTCCTAAAATTTAAAGATCTAACAAATGTCAGCATTGACTCTTGTAGATTCACCATTTCTCCATATATTTACCATAACATTAATTACACTTCATCTTTCATGTGCAAAGTGTTGCCAGAAGCCAAAGTCCTTACCATCCAGTTCAATGATTTCCATTCTCTTTCCTTCTGTGTCATGCCCAACAAACTTCAAGCCTTTATCTTCAAAGAAGTGAATCAGTTCAGGATTTACCTGGAATGAGAGAAAGCAAAGAGGTAAAAAGATAAATGGACTGCTCCAAAAGTTCTCAGTACTGTGATACTGGTGAAAATTTATGCCCAGACTAGGATCTGCATTGGCAGTTCAGAGTTTCTACTTATCTTTTTGTATAAACATCTGTGGCCATTGTATAGACAACCATTGCCAAGCCCAAAAGGATTGATCCTGCCAGTTGTAGACCAATCAACCTCCTAAACACGATCAGCAAACTCAATGCAAGACAACTATGTTGAAAATTCTAGGACTGTCTGGATCAATAACATTTGGAGGAGCAGACTGGCTTTAGGGAAGGCCAGTCTCTTGTTGATCAGTGTCTAGTACTCCATTATCACGTTTAAAAATACCCCTCTCGCAGCATAAGTTTTCATAAGATTTTAAAGCAACATTTGATTCTACACCCTAAGCTAAATTGTGATAAAAATTAGAGGATGAGTCCTTGATTAACTGACATCTATTTCATTTTATATGCATGCTGCATGAAGGAATACCACTCGAAATAAGTTGTAATTCTCAGAACCATCTCACTAGTGCCATCGGCATCAAGGAAGGATGTATATTGGCCCCCCTCCTATTTAATTTCTATATCAGCTCCATGGTAGGCCTTCTCAACACAAACTTTCATCCACAAAACTTTCTGGAAAACGTATCTACTCTATGTCTGGGCAGACAATACAGCAGCATTTTCAAGAACAGAGATTGGCCTTAAAAGAGCACTGAAAGCATTTAGCAGAGTATTGCAGGGAAGATCAACAACTATTCAATTATCAGGAAACCAAAATCATAGAATTTGCCAAAAGGTACAAGAGCCACTCCTGGAGAACAAATGGCCACAAGATTGTGCATGTCTCCTGTTTCAAATACTAGGGAGTTGTTCTTCACTAGGTTAATAGCAGAAAACCCCATGTGGATTACATTGTTGAACCATTTGTTCAATTCGTTTTTTTTAAGGTTGGACCATCAAGTCCCAAAATGTATCTTTAATGTCTCCCTGAGATTGCAGACAAGCCTCATGATAGTGGAGGCTAGACTATGGTTATCATAGAGAATCTTCCCTTTTTCCTTTACTCCATTAATTATGAGAGTTTATTTCAGTACACATGGAAAAAGGCAATGGCAAAATAGAATGGAATGGAATGGAATAGAACAGAATAGAATTATTTTATTGGCCATGTGATTGGACATACAAGGAATCTGTCTCCGATGCATAAGCTCTCAGTGTACATATAAGCAACAAGCAATAAAACATGATAATAATAATAAAATACAATCATCATAAATCATGATACAAACTCATCAATAGTCATAGAATACTAAATAAGCAAACAATAGAAATCATACTAGGATACTAAATAAAGGCAATCAACACAAACAACAGTCATAAGAAGCTAAGGAAACAAGTAATAGGAAATATGAGAAAATGAGAAGGATAATAGGTAATACAGTCAACTAGGTGGTTTGACATCCTACGGCCCAGGCAGTGGGAATTAGTTGTTTAGCAGATTGGTAGCATGTGTCTAGCATGTGCTTGTTTTAATGTGTAATGCCCTATAGAATCAACTTGAGGGAAGGAGTTAAAACAGTTTTTGTCCAGGATGTGAGGTGTCTGTAGATTTTCATAGCCCCTTTTCTGGCTCATGCAGTGTACATATCTCAATGGAAGGCAGGATGGTTGTCATTATCTTTTCTGCAGTCCTAATTATCCATTGCATTCTGTGTCTGTTTTGTTTGGTGTGCCAAACCAGATAGTTATAGAAGTACAAATGACAGACTCAATAATTCCTTTGTAGAATTGTATCAATAGCTCCTTGGGTTTAAGTTTTCTGAGTTGGTGCAGGAAAAACATTATTTGTTGTGCTGTTTTGATGATGTTTTTGATATTAGGTTCCATTTGAAGTCTAGAGATATTATGGAACCTAGATACTTTGTTAAGGTATTGAAGATTGAATAGCTGACCAGCTGTAAATGCTGATCCAATGAGAATAAGTCAGCAGGGTATTGACACTTTAAGACTAAGGTTGGATCAGCAGGGCTATTCCCACTTTAAGAAGCTGTCTATATAAAGGCAATCATGAGAAGGCGTCTCTCTCTCTCCTCGTGTTCTATCTCCACTGTAGTTCCCCGTGTAGAGTTGAAGATTGATTGATTGCCTGGTATGTGCCTAACACATGTATGTATGTATGTATGTATGTATGTATGTATGTATGTATGTATGTATGTATGTAGCAGTCTCGTATATAAACCATTGTTAAAAGACAAAGCTTCTGTGTTCTGTGTTTTGCTCCTGGGTTGTCTCACATCACGCTGCAAACACTCTGACATACATGAAGGTCTCTAATGTTGATATTGTGTTGTCTAGTATTGTAAGAAATGGTAGAATAGGAGGGCTTCTCATAAAATCTACTATCATCTCTACAGTTTTGAATGTGCTCAGTTCAAGATTGTTCTGATCACACCATAGGGCCAGTTGTTCAACTTCCTGTCTGTATGCAGATTCTTTGTCATCTCAAATAAGATCAATCACTGTTGTATCATTTGCAAACTTCAGTACTTTAACAGAAGGATGCTCTGAGATGCAGTTGTTCGCATAGAGAAAAGAGTAATGGGGAGAACACACAGAACCTGGGAGGCACCTGTACAGGTATCTTATGTGATTTTGCCTAGCTTCACCTGCTGCTTCCTATCTGTTAGATAGCTTATGATCCCGCCCGCCCGATGCTCGCTCACCCTGCCCGACTGCCCCACCCAGTCACTCCTCACCTCATGGCTTGCCTTTAACCTGCCTTCCCACATGGTGCCTGCGCCCCAACTGAGCAGCCCTGATCTGCCTGCTCAATGGTAAGTCTGCAAGTCGCGGTAGCCCCCCATTCCCAGATCTTGCTGCCCCCCC